TTTTTCTGTCTTTCTTCCTTCCTTTCTTTCTTTCTGGTACCAGTGAATGAACCCACAGTGGGATTGCTCAGGCTGGGCTTGAGCTTGTAATCCTCCCATGCCAGCCTTTGAGTACCTGCATTACAGGTATATGCCACCATGCCTGGTTGCCCATCGTTTTTGTTAAATAAAAGTTTAGATTTCTTGGCCTGTCCTCAGTGATTGCCAAGGACCTTCCATAACTTTCCTCTCCGCTGACTCCCTGATCTGTCTACAAGCAAAAACCAGGATTCACCTTACTACCATGACACTGAACATTGCTTCCTTATGTGGGTCTTTCCCATCAACTTTCCCCTGTCAAAAAAGCTCAACACAAAAATGTACAGACAAAATCATTTTTTTAAAGAACAAAATAGGAAGAAAATCTTTCAAAAAATCTCCATAAAGCTCCATATGAAAGACTTTACTTAGGTCTTAAACTCAGAATTTCTCTATTCCTCTTTATTGAAATGTTCTGAAATTCTCTAGTGAAATGTATAAACGATAAAAATAGGAATCCTTATTTAACTGTGTACACAATGATCTTTTAAAAAAATCTATACTGTAAGATTGATCTAGGTAGAAACTTTAATTGCTTCACTGGATATGGCATCACACACTCTGACATCTAAGTCCCCAAAGACTATTAGTAAATGTTCACGTGACTGTTTGAATGGAATGAGAACAGATGCACACTCTCCATGGATGAGGAACCACTGTTTTACTCATCCTGCCAGCAAAACACAACTGAGAGATCCTAGAGACACTATGATCAGCACAAATGGGCTGAATGCTGGGAAACATGAGGCCAGGAGCACAGAGCTGTTTGCTATTGGCCGTGATTTGAAACTAGAGTCATCCAGATGGTAAAAAATAGTATAGACTGACTAAAAGGTAGCAAGGATCTCACCGGGATCAGGATGGTGCGTGTGGCTCTGGCCCCACAGGAAGGTCTAGGAGAGAAGCTTGTGGCTGAGAATGGGGTGGACTCAGTGCTTGTTCCTGTGCAGGACAAGAACCATGGAGCCACTGGCCCAGGTCATGAAGCACAAACTCAGGAACTCCAAGGAAAAACAGAAAAGTGTATATAATAAGCTATGTTTCTCTGTCATTAACCAGGAACAGTGTCCACAATTAATTTCTACACTGAGTTTTCCTTACACCACGGACCATTCATGTTTAAAAGAACAAATGAATTTATCAAGAGATGTAAGTGCCAGCACAGAAAACAACAGAAGCCAGTAAACCTTAGGGAGATAATCTTGAGCTCCATCCACAAATACTGGGGTTGAGCTTAGTGGTTATTATTATTATTATTATTTTTGTTTTTTCTCTGGTAACGGGAATTGAACTCATGACCTTGCGTTTGCCAGGCAGGCGCTGTGCCACTGAGCTAAATCTCCAGCCCCAAGGGTTGGGCTTAATAGCCTGGAAGCCTTTGAAGAGACATATGGTGCTGAAGGACACTCCAGTGCCCACTCTGTAAAAGTAAAAGACAAGTATAAACTTGTCCAGGAATATTACTGTCCCAAAGTTGCCTATGTCAGAGAGACACCTTTGGAGAAAGATCAGTTGCAATCAAAGCTGTGGGTCTCAAGTGCTGCCTAGTGAGCAAAGTGAAGTCATAGAGGCAGAGCAGGGAGGAGTTTCCCAAGAGGCCACTCCTATCTGAGTTAAAAAAGAAAATCTTCAAATCCAAGTTGGCAGAACATATCCCATCAATATGTAGAGGGTACTGGTTTTAAAGAAGAGTAAACAGTTAAACTGGACAGGAGGAGCACACCTTATATAACGTGAGACCCTTGTCTTTCAGATTGTTGGAGCCTTGGCTTTGGCTGTTGTGTCGCCATCCTGGAGTCTAGGTTTTCGTCAGCCATCCTTCTCAGGGTTTGTCATGTCTTGTCCTGCACTGGCTCTCTCCTGGGTCTGGCTTTTCCCTAGCTGCATGTTCTGCAGTATAGGCACATCTTCAGCTTCATGCTTCACTTCAGTAATCCCTACTCTATCAGCCCTAAAATCATAACTTTTATATTTGTACTAAACGTGTCTTCCCACATCACTTCCTGATTTTATAACAATTACATACTCTGTCTGTAGTTATTATTACCTAATTATTACTAATGAGTTTCATCAATCTAAGTAATTGACTGGTCCTCAGCATACTCTGAAACAGAGTAGAGCTGGCACAGATGTCATCAACTTGTGCTGGGGCAGGCACCAAGCATGGCATTTCAGAGCCTCATCTCTCTCCCCACCTTCCAGCCCCATGGCAGGGATGATACATGCCTGTTCTCCACTTTGGCCTCTAGGTCAGGTCAAGTCCACCCAGATCCAGGGATCAGAAGTCCATCACCTGGAAACCTAAATGGTGCGGGATAGAAATTATTGTCCCATAGGAAGACACCAGAGGTCTGAGGGAAAACTCTCACCTCTGCCCTCATTGGCTGAATCCTGCTGTCCCCGGCACAGTGTATTACGGGTAATGTTTCCTGGTTCCTGGGTCTCCAGGAATGCATGCCCAGATCCATGGATGGGTCTTCCAAATGACATTTTTCTCCTATTCTCCTGGGGGTAAAAACTTCATCCTCTTTCAGTCTTATAGGCTGATTACGGAGTGTAGTTAAAATAGTCTCCACACTGTTTACAAACATTGTACTTCTGGTGGCGTAGCACTCTAATGAAAGCTAAAGAACTTCTTTTAACTGTTACCAAAGATGACAGGTCCAAATGTTACCAGATGGGGGTCCAAGCGACTTCTTTTCAAGTCTGTGGTCTTGAACAAAGAATTAGGTAAGAACACAGAAAAGGCATTGAGAGTGTATTATTATTGAAGGCAAAAGGAAGCACTTTCCTTCTTGGTGGGAGCAAGTCTGTAAGGAAGGCTCACAGGAGCCACTGGTTAAAGTGAAAGGGGCCTCTGGTATCCAGAATAGCTGAATTGGCCCCACCACATGTATATATGGTAGGGGCACAATTGTACTATTAAATACTCGTTTGGTCCCAAGTCAACTGTACTGAAGAACTAGGACCAGTGCGTTTTGATTGGTCATGCCCAGATGTAAAAAGGATTAGAAATAGCATCTTCTGATTGGTCCTGTGAACAGTGCCAGATTCAAGAGAATTATTAGGACTAGTGCTTTCTGATTGGTCCCATGAACAATGCTCCAAGCCGTAAGCCTGGAGTCATTTGGGTCACGTGTTGTGTGTGTCTTTCCTTTTCAGAAAATATTTTGCTCATCTAGTTAGCCAACTGTGTTTTAGGATTTAAGGTATATTCTGCCTGGTTGGTTTTCTGGTTTGCCACATCGCCAATCCACTACCTCACAAATGCACCCATCATTCTACACAGTCAGGCACATAATATGTATCCATCAGAAAGAGGAAACTGCCTACTGGCACCTTTATCCATCCACTTTTCCTCTTATTAGTCAGAAAAAAATAAAGTTAAACAATGAGGGAACTACTATACCATTTTAGGTGGGTACAGATCCAAAGAGGAGGGATTTTGCTATTTAGGAAACAAGTCCCTAAAGAAATTTGATAATCTAAATCTAGAAAAGACAGCAGCTAAGACAAGTAGAATTACCCTTAGCTGTCATAAATTCAGAACTCCCTCACATCTCATGGGAAGATACTTTTCCCTTTTGGAAAAAGGTGGAGCAGTTAGGAAATTTGAAAGTTTCTCTGTGTAGACGGGCAAAAGTAATGGTCCTCTTTTGTCTTTCACATGCTACACCATATCTACGACATTGTTTGTAGAAAAATTGTGTTGTGAAGTAAAAGAAGAAACATGTGCCTTAGATAAATAATAACTGAAATAAATTAGAGTTACACTTTCTCATTCTTCCAAGTATATGTACAATAATATTAATCAGCAAGAAAGGACAATTTGTTGCTCATTAACTTCAGATCAAAAGAGTGCCCACCACTGGAAACTGGGATTTAAGTTAGATCCTTATGCTATAAATTCAAAACAATAAAGTATATAATGATCTCTCTCTCTCTCTCTCTCTCTCTCTCTCTCTCTCTCTCTCTCTCTCTCTCTCACACACACACACACACACACACACACACACACACACACACATCAAGCAAGATCTGTTCTGTGTCTGTAACCAATAATTGGGTGCTCCCTCTAGAATCTACATCCATGTATGGCTTCAAGCTTATATCTTGCTTTTGGCCTGCTCTCCTTTAGAGATCAAGGTGGTAGTATGTACCTATAACCACCCAGGTTTCAACAGATTAAGAAGTTAATTTTTGAGTTTCTCTCTCACTTCTCCTGTTCTTGGTCACTAATAAAATTCTCCTTTGCTGCTGAAAAATAAAGTGAAATAAGAATGAAAAAGAAAAAAAGAGTAAGTGATATGATAGAGGCTAGTCTGATGTTTCACTGAATCTTTCTACAATGCAAACATAGATAAAACATCACATTACAGCCTATAAAATATGCACAATTATTTATCATTTAAAATGAATTAATTAGAGAGAAATAACGCTGAACATCAAAAACAAAAAGAAACAAACAAAACCTTCTCAGAATCTCTGTGAAACTTCCATGGGTCCATAAACTCAGAATTTCCCACATTATTATATTTTAAAATATTCTGAAATCTACACCCACCTGCCATCATCTGGAAGAATGTAAGAATTAGAATGATAAATCTGAGTTTACCTAAGTAAACTTTTTAGTTTACCTAAGTAAACTAAATTAGTAAACTAGTTTACCTTAGTAAGATAAGGTAAACTTAGTAAGCTTTAGTTTCCCTAAGTAAACTAAACTAGTAACCTAGTTTCCTTAGTTTTTTAGTTTACCTAAGTAAAGTTTTTAGTTCTATGATGCAATTGGAGCCAATTGAAGACTTGGCTGTCTTTGAGATAAGGTCACATGATCTTGACAAAAGGAGTCCTCAAGTAGTAACAGATTTTGAAATAAATATTCAAATGTCTTGAGGACAACAGACTCCAAAACTGCAAGAGCATTAGGAAAAAACTTTTGCCCGCTCTCTGCAGGCGATCCGGCACTGTGAGATCCTGGAGTCACTGACGATGAGCACAAAGGGGCTGAATGCTGGGAAACATGAGGCCACAAGCATGGAGCTATTCAGTGTCCATTGGCCTTGATTTGTGATTAGAGTCATCCAGATGGTCAAAATAATATAGACTGAATAAAAGGTGACAAAGGAGCTCACCAGGATCAGGATGGTGCGTGTGGCTCTGGCTTCGTGGGAAGGTCTGGGGGAGAGGCTGTGGCTGTAGATATGTTGGACCTGCTGCCTGTGTCTGTGCAGGACCAGGACCATCGAGCCGCTGGCCCAGGTCATGAAGATGAGACTCATTAAGTTAGGGAAAAAATACAAGATTGTATATAATGAGATATATCCTTGTGGCATTATCCCAGAACAATAGTCATAATTATTTTCTATGCTGAGATTTTTCTTACTCAATGGACCATTCACTATTAAAGGAAGAAATGAATTTATTGAGAGATGTGGGATCCAGCACAGGAAACAGCAGAAGCCAGTAAACCTTAGGGATCTGATCTTGCGCTCCATCCACCTACAAATACTGGGGTTGAGCTTAATGGCCTGGAAGCCACTGAAGAGGCAGAAAGTGCTGAAGGACACCCCAGTGCTCACTCTGTAAAAGTAGAAGACAAGTTTACACCCAGCATCATCCAGGAAATGTTCCAGTCCCATAGCTGCCAATGTCTGAGGGACACCTTTGGAGAAAAGAACTACCAAATTGGTCAAAACCAGTTGATTAAGAATCAAATCTATAGGTCTCAAGTGATGTCCAGTAAGCAAAATGAAGTTATACAGACAGAGCAGGGAGAAGTTGCCCGTCAGGCCAAGTCCTGTCTGCGTAAGGAAGATAATCCCCAAATTCAGTTGGGCAGAGCACATCCTATGAATCTGTAGAGCACTGGTTTTAAGTCAGATAAATGAAGGGTTAAACAAATGGTGATGAACTTTATCACAGCCCCTGAGTCCCTCGATTTTCAATACTTAGAATATTCACAACGTTCTTATCTTAAATGGACATAGAATTTTGCCCAAATAGGCAAAGGCAACTCAGTGAGGACCTGTGATGCAAATGGCCTGAGCATCTGCTTCAGGGTGGGGATGCACAGCAGGGTGAGCTGCTGCCATAGGGATGAGCGAGGGGAGCTGTTTGCACTGCTGTTGGCTGTTCTCTCTCACACCTTCTCCATGAAAAGGCCACATACAGGAGGAGTGCAGCATATGATAAAAAACAGGGGAGAAATCAAATGACATGGAAAAGTAGAAATGAAGCTTATGAAGTGAACTGATTTACAGTTTGACTAGTAGAAATGTTTCATACAATTATTGAAAAATATTAATCACATTATCTGTCAAATCAGTAATATTCCAAATAAAATGAAAATCTGAGTTTGATTATATATCATTGTGGTATTCTATGTGTACTTACCAGAAATAGTTTACATAACTTTATGATTTTATACACATCTGTATTTCTTCCTTCTCTTCAATAAAGCAGTATAGACACTGTAAACAGATATGCAGCTTTGTCTCTAGTATCAAGACTGTGATATCAAACATATTTTTTACTAAAGCAATATAAAACGTCTTGAAGACAGTGGCACAGGATGCATGAGAAAAACTTTGTAAGTGTCCTTACAATTTCTCAAACAAAAAAGCCAGGATAGGGGGCTGGGGATTTAGCTCAGCGGCAAAAGCGCCTGCCTGGCAAGTGCAAGGTCGTGAGTTCGGTTCCCGGTACCGGAGAAAAACAAAAAAAAAAAAAAAAAAAAAAAAAAGCCAGGATGCTCCAGAAGTGCTGGGTATATTTGAAGATAACAAATAGTTCAACTTGGAAAGAAGAGACGCGGGTCACTCTGGAGTACTGGGGGGGCAGGAGCAGCAGAGTGCTCATTCATCTGACCTTTGCACTCTGTGGGTACATTCAGAACCATCTCTGTAAGGGTTATGCCTCTAAGGAACCATGTAAGATCTCCAAGGACAATTTAAAAATCACTCATGGAAAAAAGACCCATGGTGCAACCAAGCAATGAAGTAAACTCAGAGGAGGGAAACAATGAGAATATATTGAAGATAACCTCAACATGGTTTCACAAAAGAAGTTCAGTGTGGGGAATTAGGAATCTTAAGGTTTGTTACAAAGCCAGGTCTATGACAAGAGACTGTGAAACTTGAAGTTGTGATGTGTTCTAATCATTAAGCCTTATTAATAATGCAAAAAACCACAGGCTAAGGAAGTATCACAGTTTCCTCTGATCATCAGGAGCTGTGGAGACATGGGGTTGATCTAAATCAACTCTTAGAGCAGGGTGTGAACATGCCTATCCAAAAGGGTCTCAGTGAGAGTAAAATTTTATATTTTATAAAATAAATTTAGAGGGTTTTCTGAGTAACAGATTAATAATACAGTGAAAATAATATAGCCCTTCTCTCTCCACACTACAGTTATCCACACATTTCCCTGAACAAACCTTTCTTAAAAATCACCAACATTGGGAAAAAAGGAGCTTTTTTTTTCTTTAAATGAAGGCCACCATTTTCTAATGACAGAAATTTTAGAAATGTTTCTACAGACTCCCCTGATCTCTGTATGCTTTCCATAGAATATGATAAAGAGAGCAGAAGCTCATTGCTGTCTGCTGGACAGCTGGGAATGCATCTTGCTTCTCAGTTGTCCAGCATCTGTGGAATGATGCCTGTAGAGTGCACATTGTGAGGGTGCTGTGTTAGGCAGGGATGAGTGAGGGCAACTTTAGAGAGGGCTGTAGCAGTAGAAAGAAGAGAGCCACCATCACGTAGGGGCTGTGGTGCCTTTAGACTAGGCATTTTCTAAAATAAAACTGTCCTAAATGTGTTTGCATGTGCGCATGTTCATTGTTTTATGTTCCACTGCCTTGATTCTCTTGGCTGGAGACTTTCAGAATCTGTGCCCACCTGCCCACCTGCACAGAATCAGTACTTAGCTGAGGCAGAGCAGTTGTGGTGGATGGATTTGGCCACTGAGGACTCAGAGCCAGTGACAGCATAGCTGGGAGCATCAGAGGCTCTGCAGTTTTCCCTGTGTCATTCTATCCATAGTCTGTCCATTTGAAGGGGACACTGGCACCACAATAGCATCCTTTAGTAAGGAACTTGGTCCTGCATGGAGATCCTCCATGGACAAGACTCAGAATGCAGATCTGTGTGACAGGCATGGAGCCCGTGGCCATGCTGGCCCAGAGCATCAGGAGAGCCAGTGAGTTGAGCACAGGCATAGAGAGCAGAGTAGAGGGCGTTCCCTGACATCAAGTGTGAAGAGTCTAAATTTCCAACTATAAAAACCCTTGGTCCTGAAGAAATAATAAAAAAATTGCTCAGATAATTTGCCATGGATCAGTTGTACAACTGATTAGAAGCATCAGAACAAGCATACATTTCACAACTGCACAAAACAAAAGCAAAAACAACCAAGCAAAAACCAAAAGCATTTCTACTCACCTTAGTGCTGCTTGCTGTCCAGGTGGGGCTCAGGCAGCATCATCAGGTGTAGAAAGGGGCCTCTGATAAAGCTTTGGGAACCTATCACCTCACCTCCTGGCCGTGATTATCACTTCACCCTTGAGTGCAGTGGCAGTGTCCCCTGGGGGAGGGGAGATGATCTCTGCAAAACATTCATGGATGTTAAAGTCTCTGAAGGATCTTTGAAATAATTACTAAAAAGAAGCAGCAGGAGGGGCAGAAACCTACAAGTGGGACCTCACATCAGACAGGTGAAACCTCACATCCAACAGGTGGGACCTCACATCAAAAAAGTAACAATCATGGTGGAAACTGAGGAGAGACATAGAGATCTAATGAGTGAAAGAGAAAAATAAGCACACAACTGTGCTGGATTTATAATCATTTTTATACTCTTGACAGAAAATACAAATTTTTATTCTTGAGAACTTTAAGGCACTGGAACTCAATGGGGGACAGTAGAGAAGTAAAACTGGGTCCAACAGACAGGAATGTCATGGAATATAGTCACTCAGTGCTTCAAGGCATTTATTTAATAACCTAGATGGATCAGACAGATTTCTGCTTATTAGGCATATCTTAGAACACAAACATTAAAATATTTTTGCCCACAAATGGTCTGTTTTTTCAACCAGATTCACTGAAGTTATTAACACATTGTCAGAAACAGTAAGTTCTACAGAGAAAAGAGCAGAGTGTGTGTCCAGTGAATTGTGGCCACAGGGATGGGTCACACATGGCATACGATACTCAGAATAGGACCAGTCCTACTGATGATATTTTAGGGAATGCTTTAGTGAGTGAGCGGGAATAGGCTCATTCCTTCTCCATTCATGTATGTTTACTTTCTCTAGGTACAATCTATTAAATGGCCTTTATACCCTAATGTTCAAGAACAAAACAAACTGCTGTAGTTCTTTCACCACTGAACTTAGTTAAGATAGGTTACTGTTTGTTTTGTCAAACTTCTCTCATACCTTAGCTACTTTCTCATTGCTGAGTCACAACACCCAGAATCATGCTGCTTCAAAATGATCCACACAGAAGGGAATATTACTTTTGGGTATTCTAACCAAATATGTGTAACCTCAAACTATCTATGAGTCTGTCATATATTACAACTTGAGGGACATTTCAGAAATCACCTAACCTGTACATTTCAAAAGTATTAGAAATTAAGACGTGATAAAAGCTGGTGAAAACTAAGGAACTGCATGTATTTGAAGAGACCCAGGAGGCACGACGCCTGAATACAGTGTGGTATTCTGACCAGATTTCTGCATAAAAAGACATAAATAGAGACTTGGAGAACTTAAATGTAATTTATAGTTTATGTCACAATACGGTATAAGTGTTAATTTTCTAGTTCTAATTATTATATTATGGTACATAAAAATACTAACTTCATGGGAAACTGGGGAAGTGTATTATGAGAATTCTTTGAGGTAAATTCTACAACTTTTCCGTAAGTTTAAAATTATTTAAAATTAAAAATAATTACTATAAAATGATAGCTAAGAACAGATAGCTGTGATGATGAATATGTCAATCATTTTGACTTAGATATTGCACATTATATCAAAACATCATATTGTACCCCATAAATATATACAATTATGGTTATTCAATCAATAATGCTAATAAGAAAAATTTAAAGTATTGTGATAAGAAGATAATATACATAATGACAAATACATGGGTCACTGGAATAAGCACAAAGCCCCAAAATAGACATACACCTACATAAATGGACACATACACAGACACATGCAACTTACACATGTTCTTGTGGATTATTTTTAAAAGCCAAAGTAATTTCCATAAAGGTGTGTTAAAATAATCTAAAATCCATAAGTAAAAATGAGACCTTACTCTAAAAATTTGAGAATGACTTCATAATCTTAGCTCTCATTATTTAGGTGTATCTAGAATCTCTAAAGAAAATACATGCACATAAGGCAATAAAATGGCAAAACATTTGAAAGGACATTTCATTATGAAACATACTTAAATATGTTCTTGCATATCCAAATGACACATGAGGACCTGCGAATATGTCCAATGTGATTACTTATTAGGACAATGTTTATTAAAGCCAGAATGCAATACTATGACAGGATTACTAGAGTATGCAAAATTGAGAAGACAACTGATAATAGTAGTTGGTGAAGATGTACAGAAACTAGAACAGTCATACATTTTCATGACTGCAGGGAGAGTAGAATCACACACCCCATTGGCAGAAGTGCCTACATACCTGGCATATGATTCAGCAAGCCCACTACTAGAGAAAAGAAACTATAATTGCCCAAGGAATACACAAAATAATTGGTGAGCACTTAAGCCACGAGAAGATGTGGAGGAACTTCAAATACATGTTGGTA